TGCAGATAAAGCCAGACTGGGATGTGATCGATCGATTATGTTCAAACAAAGCTGTCTTTCAAGCTTGCTATAAACATGAACCAAAGATATTCTGTGATCTAATTGGTATCTTATTATCAGCATCACCTTCATCTTAATACTGTATTCCGATTTAAATGGATATGAATATTGAGTATAATGTTATGATTACCTGCCTAATCATTAGCATTATTTTCTGAATTACGTTGTCATTGTTTCTTACCATGATGCAAATATCAATTTGTTAAGCATTGTTCGTATTTTAGCCTTTTTTAAATCTTAGTTGATTGGTGATTACTGTGCTAATCAGTGAGTGCATCTTTCGAATATCAGTGCTAATATATCAGCTGCTTTCCAGAGAGAACGACAAGAAAACGACTTAGCAAAAATTCGGTGAATGAAATCAACGAAATAAAAAGTTTCATTCGAGATTGATTTCGAAATCATTCTTGCTATAAAATTTGCGATTTTAAAATATTCATCAAACGGCTATTAAAATATTTCAAAATCAGCAAATTGATCGTTTTAATTGCGTCATAAAATGAAATGATGCTAAATAATAAAATTATCTAATAAGGGCTGACAATGAATTCGTTGAAAATGATATTCGAAATTATCCTATGCAAATTGCTTCCGTCGCCAGTCTCATCCATTTGATAACAGACGCAATTCTATATAAATAGAAGCGAGTTCAGTTCAAATATTCAACAACGCTTCCTCGTTTTGATATTTCTCATGAGCTGTTGAAATATTCCAGGAATATGTTATCATGAAATAGCGATTTGATTGTTGAAATTATATGTGACTGATATGTAGATATGTGCCTTTTTCGATGGAATTTTTTTTNTTTTTTTTCAGTTCGTTGTCATATCATCTATCCAGTGTCATCATATGGAAGACATATTCTGTATTTGTTGTTGTCCTGTTTATAGTTGTTTAATTCATTTTGCAGCCACATTGTATTGCATGCATTGTTACGAACTCAACTTCTTCATCTCACAGCCCTGTCATAAAGTTCCTTATCTTCGACACAACTTTCATCAAATTCTTGTTTAGCTATCCTTAATCTTCAGGTTCTTCCAAGGTTCTTCTGTAAGAGTTGTTTCGATTTAGACGTTTTCACAAGCGAATGATAAAATCACATCTTAATGGGTAATTTATTGGCACATTTGAGTGTGTGAAAGTGATGGAATTTTGGGAACAAAGGAGCTGGCTGCAACAATTAAAATTTCGTAATCGCGCAGCATTTCAAAGATGGTGGCTGTTTGAAGGTTGAAGAAATTTTACCTAATCGATATGAAAGAATGAATTGTGAAATACGTATTCTCAAATCTATTAAGGTGGAAGATACCCTACCTCGTCCATCCTTCATGTTGCTTATGAAAGCGCAAATGCTTTGAATAGGTCATAATGTGGCGATCGACATTGAAGAAATTGCTTTTTATGGGGATATATAGAGAAGAAGCAATGTGTTATGATATAATCACTTGGTTACTAATTGTTTTGTTGGTCACAGTACGCAGTACTATTAATCAGCGTTGGGTATGCTGCTGAAAAAGTCAACTTCGGCAAACGCTGATCTGTTTTGATAAAAACTTTTATTCCGTTGAAGTTAATCGTTCCATACAAACTAATGAAGAAATGGCGAAAATTTCTATGCCAGTAGAGTCACTGATTGGTAAAGGTAACAGT